TAATTTTTCGTTTCGTTTCGCTGAATACCGTAAGCCTTGTATAATTATGTTAATCTATTTTTAAGGAAAGTTGGTGTGATATCTTGTGAGTTTTACCAACTGAATTTTAAATGTAGATTATGTAGATGTAGAATTTCAAACTCAAACAAAGAGCTTTGTAGACTCTTTGTGCCTCACCCCCGCCCCACCCCCTTGCACTTAAAAACTATCGACTATGTCAGCGGTATGTCATTTATTTGTGTTGGTACTTCATGTGTTGGAATAGTGACAAAATGGCGGGAGCTGGGAGACTTCATCTTTTGGATGTATCTCCACAGCTTATACTTCAAGACAGGACGAAAAGGTTTTACGACGGCTACATCACAGTATGCGTAAGTAGGAGGGAAAAATGTTTGGCTGTCTAATGTTTATTGGTTTTTTATAATTGCTTTACTTTATAGTTTTATCTACCATTTTGCAGAAGAAGAGTTTCCGAATTTCCATCGAAATTCCTGAGAACAATTCATTGAAAGATGCCAGGTGGGTTTACTTACCCAGCGAATTTGCCGCGTTTGAAGTTTTTAGCATCGGTTGATGTTTTTGCAGGTAGAAAATGGAATGTTCCATAGCAAGGTAGTCAGAAGCGCACTAAGTTAGGGGGCGGGGTCACTTTTTAGAAAGGGGGTACTTATTGGAAGGGAGGCACTAAATTTACACACGCTGTGTATGTATCTCTAGGATTGAATGTGGATGGAAACTGCGGCATTTACTAAGAGGTTGTGAAAGTGTCATAAAACAGGTAATATAGCCGTGGATTATGAAAATGATCAGTTTTATAGTTATGCAGTGATTGGATTAAAGTGATGAAGCTTGACTTGATATCTCTTGTGCAATTTAAAACTTCCTTACTTTTCACAATACCTTATTTCCTTCCTTGTTTACTTAAAAATCTGCCTTTGAATAAGGGCTGCATATAACAGCAAAAATGTAATTACTGCACCTTTCAGTAACATGTGGATTCTAAAATTCAAAACTCAACCGACAAATGCGTTTTTCGCTATTGTAATAAAATGTTTGGCGGCTCCTCCCAGCTTCTGACTACTGCCGAGCACTGTTTCATTGTCTGAACTGTGCTCAACGATTTGTGACACTGGATTTTAAGTTAACAATTTTTTTCTTTCTGTAGAGGCTAACACAGAGTGTTGATCTACCATCTTTCTTGCTGGAACTCAAGAGCATTCTGGTGTGTACAATGTATTTGTTGACTCTTGTGAAAATTTATACCGGTATGTTAAAAAGGTTATTGATTAGTTTTTGAATGTTGTTTCCTGAAAGCCCCAATTGTGTATTAGAACATTTCCTGTAGAACGTTCTTGTGAGATCCTGATTCTCTCTAAGCCAGTTCAATCCCTGGGCGGTAACTTCCCATATAAAATAAACTAGTGGTAATCGTAGATTAAAGAGTGCATTTGAGTTTCAGTAGGCTTGGTAGGTTAAAAAAACAAAAATTCTAGGGAAAGCATTTTGTGCCTGAGCTGTTAGGTAGGCGTGAAATTGGTCTCCCTTCAGCAGGGGCAAAAAGGACAGAGGTGCTCATTGGAAATTTTGAAAAGAACCCCTAAGAGGTACCAAGATGCTGTTTTGTTGGTGTGGCTTGAAGTTTTTTTCACCGGTTCGATCTTTTTGAAAAGACAGAAATCAACATTTCCATTTTAAGTTTTGATCTCCTTTATCTAATGTGAATACTTTACCTCTTCTTACTACCATCCTTAACATTGCTACCTGATTCCTCATCATTAGTGAAGAAATTCAGTAAATATTACTCTTATTTTCACTTATGAGACAAAATTTTATCTCACCCATGCTATGCAGAGTGCATTTCCACAACTAACAAAGTATTGATAAAAGTGTACGGTTTTTGTAATTCTAATATGACTGGAGACAAAAAGTTTTGTTAATAAATCGGGGCATTGAGAGTTCCCAATCCCAGACATTTTTCTGGAGATATGGTAATATGTAGGCAGGTCTTAGGATGAATCAAATAATCTTAAAGTTATCTTTTTGATGTATTTGAGATTTCAGAGTACAATATTTTTGTCTTAGTTTCATAAGTCTATTAAACATACTTATTATTTTAATAGGAAAAGCTTCTGGAATGCCAAAAATCAGAAAAAGTTGTTTCACAACCACATGTGTACACACATTTGGTGACAGAGTTGGAAACTATTGGATGGGAGAAGTGAGTTACATTATATTCAGCCATTAATATATAAAATGTACAGTGTACTTGTTTTTCAAGTTTTTAAGTCCAGACTGGTAGAAATGCTTTGCAAAAAAATGATCTGTTACAAAAAGGGTAATGTGGTAAGGTTTCTTTTTGATCATAGATATTTCAGTCTTTGCATTACTAACAGAAAGGCCTGTTATTAAGAGACAAGGAGTGGATGAAACGACTGTTTTAGTTATAATATCCCTCATGCTTTCTTCCTATCTTTTTAATGTTTTTCATTGTTCAGCAAGGCCTGACGTAATTCAGAGCCAGTGATGCTTTGAGGAAAATATAAATAATTTGAAATGTATCGTGCTAGCAATAATCAATTGTTTCATGAAAATTCAAGGCTGCATTTGGTTTGGCTGCAGGGTTGATGTGATTATATAAGTTTAAACTGTTTGGAAGACTATTCTAAGGAACATTTTATGTTTTTTTCTTGTTAGATTGGCATATGTGGATCCATCATTTCAAGTGTTANGATGAATCAAATAATCTTAAAGTTATCTTTTTGATGTATTTGAGATTTCAGAGTACAATATTTTTGTCTTCGTTTCAAACGTCTATTAATCATACTTATTATTTTAATAGGAAAAGCTCCTGGAATGCCAAAAATCAGAACAAGTTGTTTCACAACCACATGTGTACACACATTTGGTGACCGAGTTGGAAACTATTGGATGGGAGAAGTGAGCTACATAATATTCAGCCATTAAATAAAATGTACATGTTTTCAAGTTTTAAAGTCCAAACTGGTAGAAATGCTTTGCAAAAAAAAAACCCAAAAAATGTCTTGATCTGTTACAAAAAGGGTAATGTGGTTAGATTTCTTTTTGATCATAGATATTTCAGTCTTTACATTACTAGCAGAAAGGTCTGTTGTTAAGAGACAAGGAATGGATGAAACGACTGTCTTAGTTATAATTTCCCTCATTCTTTCTTCCTATTTTTTGATGTTTTTCATTGTTCAACAATGCCTGACGTAATTCAGAGCCAGTGAGGCTTTGAGGAAAATATAAATAATTTGAAATGTATTGTGTTAGGAATAATCAATTGTTTTGTTTGGTTTGGGTGCAGGGTTGATGTGATCATATAAGTTTAAACTGTTTGGAAGACTATTCTAAGGAACATTTGTTTTTTTTCTTGTTAGATTGGCATATGTGGATCCATCATTTCAAGTGTTAAAATTTGCAGCTAGGTAAATAAAAATATTACTTTGAACCCAAGTA